ATTTATATAAATAAAATGTTTAATTTAATAATTAATTTTTTAAAATATATTAATTAAAAAATAACTTTTTAAACAAATGCTTAAATTTTTTTTTTTAAATGTAAAATGCTTTTTTCTTTAATGATTCAATGCACTCTAAGAAAGGGGATAAATTAGAAATCAAAAATTTCCTTCTCTTTGCAAATTAAAGAAAGTAGGGAGAAGAAAAACTTTCACAATAATTTTATAAAGGTTTGGTTCAACCACCTAGGGTTTAGTTTTTTACCTTAGCTTTACTCATCAGGGATTTCCTCCACACTCTCCACTAAAGAGAACAAGGGTAACTTAAAAGAGTCACTCAATCCTTTTACAAGAAAATGAGTTTTTCTCTTAAACCTCACATTTTTACAAGATAAACTCAAGAATTCTCATTATAGATAACTCTTGAAGGAATAATCACATCTCAAAGATAACTCTTAAATAGAAAAAGTAGAGGATTACAAGCATAGATCACTCAAAGATCAAAATCTTAAGTTGGTAGGCAAGGATATACAATATAAACGCCTAAAACTTATTTTAGATCTTCTACCTACCACATTTATACCCCCTTAATTGAAAATAGCTGTTTCTAGTTGTTCGGGTTTATTAAATCCTCTGCCAATCAATTTAAGTTCGAGAAAAGATGCTACAGATTTGTCGATAGAGCCAGCTCTACCTCCAAAGTTGACTTTGGAGAGATGGCTATCATGTCTGGGGCTGGCTTTCTCACTCCTCTTGCACATTTTGTTTTTTCAAAAAGCTAGCTGCAAAACACAAAGTCAGCTTAAGAAATTCGACTTCAAAAGATTAAAAAATCTTTAAAGAACTTGACCATTGAGCATTAAATGCGTCATCATAGCTGACTACAAAGTCAGAGTCAGCTTTGCATCCATTTTCCGTGCACAATAAACTACAGACTTTACTTTTTCTCTCGTAGAGCCAGTTACAAATTTCAAACTTGGCTTTCTGTATTTTTCTTTACTAAAGCTAGCTCTAAAATTGTAGAGCTGACTCTCTACATCAATTTTAGCATTTTTTATCCATTTTTAGTGTAGTCTAAGTTCATTTATTTTTGCCATCTTTTAGGTGATAAACTACACACTTAAATGAACAAATTTGTTATTTATATGTGTTTTGTAACGTCAAAGTCATAAATACAACATTCTTATTCTATTTATATCAATGAATATATCAAATCATCAATGTGGAGCACAATAGTAGACGGTTTTCACTCACTTGGAATAGACTTTCACCTGTGTAGTTCCACAATATGACACTGTTTTGTTTTTTAGTAGTGTTTGGTAGCAATTTCGTTCAAATCACGAACTTCTAATCCCTCATCTAAATCTGAAGTGGTATAATACTACTAGAGTTAATATTTCTTTTTCTTTTGTCTCTTTTCTTTATTCTTTTATCTCTTTATAAAGTTAAATAGTGTCGACACCTTGTGTTAGGAATTTTCAAAAAATTAAAGAAGTAATCCCACCTGCTTTTTATATTTAGTATAGTATATGTTAAATATTTATTTTTTTGTAAATAAAATATTACTCCAATTTAATTATAACTAGATAATACCAATTTTTTTATATTCAAATTATTAAATTTAATAAAAAAATTTCAAATAATAAAATATAATTTATTCATTTAAAGTACAAAGATACTCTATCCCATTTATCAATTACATCCTTATCACATACTAATAATTATACCCCTCCACAAGTGCACTTTCTTTCCTGCATTTTTCTCACTTACGTTATCTCATGCGTTCCTTTAGATTTATTATCTAATCTGTAAGTGAGATTACCCATCCCTTATTTTAGCTTTTTTCCATTCTCATGATCTAATTTGGATAATTTTAAATACCCTTACAGTCTCTAGTTGTATTGGTTGAATACACAATTGTTTCTGGACAACCATAAGGACCAAATACAAGCAAACCATATTACCTCCCACCCTTCCCTCTTCTGCTTATCTGAAAAGAAGCCCAGATGTTGATGATAAAATGCTTCCCAGCAACTACCTGGCCAGCATGATTGGACTCCCTGCCATTAAACTTAACAAAATTTACTAATAAAATAAATGAGGTGAGAGGTTTTAAATAATGTGAATTGTTAAATTATTAAATTTAAGTAAATCATTTCTTAATGGGGTGGGGGTTTTCTGGTAGAAGAATATTTAAAATTTAAATTTATTTTGACTTAAAAAAAAAAGATGATGTCAATTTTATATATTAAAATAATTAAATTCAACAAAATTTATCCACAGAGTATATATTTATAATTTCAATTTACTTTTTTTTTTTGGTATATTCAATTTATTATTTTGTTACCAAAAAATTACAATTTTTAAACAAATTCTAAATGCAACCAATGCAAAATATCTGCTTTAGTTTAATATTTCTATTATGTCTAAACTTATTCAAGTTAGAGAATGTATATATATATATATAATACTAAATTAAAAGTCTTAATACCAACTACTTAAAATCTAAGAAGCCGTCAATAGGTTTAAAGTATCATAGAAAACGTATGAAAATATTACTTTATATCTAGTTCAATCTTGTTTAATTTATATATTGTGCCTAACCATCAATAGTCCTTACCTTTCTCTTTCAAACCTGTTATTACAATTTTCCTGCAATATGCTTTCATTCATCGTCTATTTTATTTTTAAAGCCTTTCTCAAATCAAATTTCAAAGGTAGTGTATGCCTTTTTGAAATTTGTGGGGTTGATAAAATAGAGGCTGGAAGGCTTCAAGTGCACTTTGCCATGTCCACCACCATGTGTCTGTTAAATTGC